AATTGAAAATACAATGTAGTTAGTATGATGCGCCGAGCCCGGTGCATGCAAAACAGATGATTGAATGCAACATGCTATCATACTGTATGCTAATTGAAACATGCCCTAATCTAACCATCATAAGCTGGTAAATAAAAGGGAGAAAGACGTGGGGTTGGAAGACATGCACCACACACACGCACACTTATTACAATTATGCCCTCGCACAGAGGGTCCGAAAGAATAATACAGTCCCAAATGAATAAATAATACAGTCCCAAATAAATACAAAATCCTAATTAATTTACAAATTAAACTAAGAAAGCTGTAAACTAGCATGCAAACTAGGGACTGCCTCGACTCCGCTCCGGATGATGAATGATGCATGCTCGGGTTGTTTGGCACGAAAATCCACTGCGATGCCTCAATTAGCCTCTGTTTGCGATTGATGCCGGAATGCTGTGCAAAGCTTTTGAAAGGCTACTGATTCTTGATTTGCTGCAACAGAGAGCAGGAAAAGGGCATGGCAATGTATTTTCACAAATGTATGCATACCTCGATCCTCGTGCCACCAATCACGCATATCGATGCATGATGGCCGAGGAGTCAAATTGCACGACTCAATATGAAATGAATGCACATATAAACACAACAAAACCTGAACTCTATCATGGATAATCCGGAGTGTCGGTGACTGGGAATTGAGACACGTTCCGTCACTCGAAGTACGAAACGTCCCTCGTTTCCCGTGCTTGGGCTAATTCCTATCCCAAGTACAATGCAATATGCATGACATGCATGAATGCAACTAATATACAACCTAGCATGCACAATGCTATGAAATGGCATACGCAATGCTATAAATTGAAATGGCATACACAATGCACAATGGACTTACACCAACATGAGTGGACCTCAGCCACACTCACATCAGTAGCCATGAGGTGAAAATGAGACACTCGAAATGCGTGCACACATGCACGCAAACCGAGGACCGATCCTAAGGCACAAATGCCACTCTAACAAAGCATGGCGAGGTATGAAACATGATATGCAAACATGCAAATTTTAGTACCAAAATATGATGCAAAACAGCCTCGAAACATGGAAGCATGGCACCCAATGCATGGGATGAGACCCGAAACATGAAATTAAGTACATGGAATGACCTATGGCTATGCAAAGCATGCATTATTTGAACATGAAGTGTGAATACAGAATCAAGACAGTCCCAAAAAAATATATTTACAGTTTTAAGCAAGGCCAAACAATGGACACAAATAGGACTAAGCTAGCATGCAAAAATGGCCCCAAAAGAGAGATAATGAAGCAAGTAGCAGCTTTTGGCCCTGAATGGCCAAGAGTCCTTCAACAAAGTTTAAGAGGGGCTCAAAATGAAGCACTTTACAGTTTAAAACAAGCCACAGATCTAAACACAAACAGGCCTAAAACATTGTGCAAGAAATGGGCCAGAAGGGAGACAAAGAAGCAAGTGATGGTTGCTGGCCTCAAACAGAGGAGGGCCCTTCAACAAAGTTGAAGAGGGGCCCAAAACATGGTGTTTTACAGTTAGTGACCAAACCCAAAACAGTGCACATGCAAGCTTAAAATACTATGCAAAATGAAGCCTAAAAAGAGGTTTAAACACAAAGAGCAAAAAGGGAGCTTCAAACAGAAAAAGACCCTTAATCAAATATGAAGAGGGGGTCAAAATAAGGCTATTTACAGTTCGGACCAGAGCCCAAAAATATAAGCACAAGGGGCTAACAAAACATGCAAAAATAAGGCCAAAAGAGGGATAAAGAGGCAAGTAACGAAATGAAGCCTCAAATAGTGAAGAGCCCTTCAAAAATGTTGAAGAAGGGCTCAAAATAATCCACTTTACAGTTTATAACCAAGCTCAAAACAGTTTACAAATGAGCCTAAAATACTATGCAAGAAAGAGGCATACAAGAGACGTAAAGAAGCAAGTTTAAAAAGGAAGCCTCAAATAGGGAGAGGCCCTTAAACAAACATGAAAAGGAGCTCAAAAAAATACTATTTTCAGTTAGGGTCGGAGCCCAAATATGCAAGCAAGTATGGCTAATATATTGAGCAAAATAGAGCAAGAAAGAGGGAGGAGAGGACTTACCCTTGAAGACCAAGTCTTTGACAACTCTTGGACCAAGTTTGGCGGCTCCTTAGCTCTGGAAAACAGCTCCAAGTGACTGGAATGGGTGGTGGTGGTGTAGTGTTAGGTGGTGGTGTAGAAATGGTGTAGGGTTTGTGAGGTTTTGAGGGTTGGAGTGTAGAGAGAGAGAGAGATACAATGTAGGAGCTCTCAAGCAAATTTTGTAACCTCTGAAATGGGAGCTGGAGGGCCTGATATATAGGCAAAAGTGTGGGAAAAAAATGGGGAAAAAATGAGGGGAAATGAATTCAAGTTTCCCCTCAAAAGTGCAGCCCCCCGGATACACAATCTGAGGGGAAACAAAATACATATCTGTAATGTACTAGAGGAGGGGATCATGGCCGGCTGGTTATTGCAGTTGCAGGTGGCCGGCCTGCCCTTCCCATGGCCGGCCGGCCAAGGGTCAAAAGGGTCAAGAGGTATTAGTGGTCGGCCACCCCAGATTGGTGGCCTCCCATGTGTGCACAACACAACCATGTGGTCAAAAACTGGAGAAAGTAAACCAGGAGAGAGAAAAGCCCATTTTTTGGAGGGGTTCAAAAGAGTCAAATACAATTACTGGCCGGCCATGTGATATTGGTGGCCTCTCAGGTATGTACAACACAAATATGTGGTTTGGGGCAAGAAAAAGTGGCCTTAGGGTGGTCAATATTGGCTTTCAAGTGAGAAAAACGGCCGACGGAGGGCGATGGAGGAATAAAACTGGTTGTTAGAACAATTACTGGCCTCCCACCCTTCTACGACCTTCCTAACAATGAAACAGAGGTCCCTGCCAGAAATGAACCCAAACCGATGCAAAATGAAGGTTCGGGGGCCGAAAAGCGCAGCCTGAGGCCCCGAAAACTGACTGTTAGGCACCGGAAGTGGTGTTCGACCACGAAGTTGGTTTTTCGGACCACAGTGTCCCTCAAAAGGGAGCAAATAAGATGTATGCCAAAAACCGGAGCAAACGGAGGTGGTTAAGCGGTCCCGAACCGAGGCACACGGCCAACGACTCTGAAAAATCGAAAACCGGACTCCAAACGGGCAAAATGGCCTACGACCACGAAACGTAGCCTACGGCCACTGAGAGATGATCTACGAGACCTCTCCCTCCCTTCGGGAAGAGAAAACAGAGAAAACGGAGCCTGGTTCGCAAACCGAGGCAAGACATGAAAGAGTCCGGAAGTCCGGAGGCAAGGCTCGCAGCCGAGACTCTGAAACTTCTGAACGAGCACAATATGCAACATCACCAAGCGCTCAATCGGTGACGTCTGAGTCTTAAGGTCGGTCAAAAATGGGATGTCTACAATAGTACAATTCTATATTATTCTATCACATGTTTGTTTGAAATTCTTTTAAATCTTTTTACATGTTAGTTCGCACTCACTAAGAATCAATATATGAACTATATCAGAATCGGACTATCAATCTGGAACTCAATTTCCCATCAAACAAACATATTACAAAGTATAGGGAAACACTAAACACAACAATAATCATCACAACATTCAATTCCAAAAAGAAAAAAAAAATTAAGAAAAGAAAATATCACAAGAATCATCAAATTAATAGAATAAAATCCTCATAAGAAATCCAAGCAAACACAACTGCACTCTCTGCAGCAGCTTATAGTGAAACGTGACAGTCTGTCGTCTGTGAATTCTTCTTGGATGACTGCACAAAAACAGGTGAACAGAAAACCCTCAATCTCCGATGTCCTGTCTTCCACGATCCATACTTAAACCTCACCTTCGCCTTCATCTGAACATCCAATTCCACATTCCCTGCCGCTTTCTCAAGCCCCAAGTCTTTCGCCACCTTCCCAGTCAATGTCACATTTTGAGCCACAAGTTTTTCATCCAAATGAGTCTCATGCCTATGAGGCTGAAAAAAAGGTTGGCCAGCGCTGGCCGCCAATTTGTCTTTGTCATAGAACACATACACTTCCACTTTGTCGTAGTAGATTGAGACTTTGCTGTTGGGAGGAGAGGACTTACCCTTGAAGACCAAGTCTTTGACAACTCTTGGACCAAGTTTGGCGGCTCCTTAGCTCTGGAAAACAGCTCCAAGTGGCTGGAATGGATGGTGGTGGTGTGGTGCTAGGTGGTGGTGTAGAAATGGTGTAGGGTTTGGGAGGGT